TATCCCCAAGCCTAGCCCACCCATTAGGACCCAGTGGGATGTCTCCAAGGCTAGCCCAGCCATCTCAGGTTACTGGGGTGTCCCCAGGCCTTGCCCACCCATTAGGACCCACTGGAATGTCCCCAAACCTAGCCCAGACATCTCAGGTGATTGGGGTGACCCCAAGCCTAAGGCACCCATTAGGATCCACTGGGGTGTCCCTAAACCTAGCCCAGCCATCTCAGGTTACTAGGGTGACTGCAAGCCTAGTGCACCCATTAGGACCCAGTGGAGTGTCTCCAAGCCTGGTCCAGCCATCTCAGGTTACTGGGGTGTCTCCAAGCCTATCCCACCCATTAGGACCCAGTGGGATATTCCCAAGCCTAGTGCACCCATTAGGACCCAGTGAGGTATCCCCAGATGTAGCTCAGCCATCTCAGGTTACTGGGGTGTTCCCAAGCCTAGTGTATCCATTAGGACTCAGTGGGGTGTCTCCAAGCCTACCCCAACTATCTCAGATTACTGGGTTGTCCCCAAGCCTAGTGCACCCATTAGGACCCAGTGGGGTATCCTCAAACCTAACCCACCTGTTAAGGCCCAGTGGAGTGTCCCCAAGCCTGGCCCATCCATCTGTGGCCAGTGAGGTGTGCCCAAATCTAGCCCAGCCATCTATCACCAGTGGCATGGTCCCCAGCCCAGCCCAGACATTTCCATCAAGCAGGGTGACCTCTAGGCCAGCCCAACCATCTATGATCAGCGAAGTGGCCCCCAGCCTATCCCAGCCACCTGTGGACACTAGGTTGGCCTCAAGCCTGTCTCAGCCATCTGTGGTCAGTGGTGCGGGTCGTGGCTTCCATAAACCAGGTTGGGTCTCCATAGGGGATTCACATATGCCATGTTCAAGGTTAGATGCAATATCCCCTAGTCTGTGCCATCCTTCAATTGTCATTTCAGTTAGCTCAGGTAGACCCTATCCATGCATGGCTGGTAGTATGGACCAGGGTTTCAACCAGTCATCTCCTGTTATTGGGGTAGATTCATGTGAAGAGCCTTTGATAGTCTCTAATTTCCAGGACCATGAGTTCAACAGAGTGTCTGTTGAGTTCTGTCAGCCACCCAGTGTGGATGAGAGGCATGTAAGCGTGTGCCCATCTTCTGTAGTCACTGTTTCAACACCAAATCTCTACCAGGACTCTACGACTGACAAGGAGGACTGTAGTGTAGGCCAGGGAGTCAGTGTATCTAAAAGGACTCTGTTCAGGGGTGTGGCTGCAAGCTCCTCCCAGGGGCCAATGGCTGCTAGTATGTTTGTTAGTATGTCTCAGGGGACCATGTCTGCTGGCCTGCCTGAGAATCTGTCCCAGAGAAATATAGCAACTGGTATGGGCCAAAGTCAGTGTCAAGTGGCCAGTGCAGATGCTTCCATTGCATCTGAGGTATGGGAGGCAGGAAGTCCTTTGATTCATGAGGAGGGACCCTCCATGGCCACAGGGGTGGGTCCCAGCCTCCATCTGGCTTCAGTGTCCAATGCCCTAGGTATAAATCTATCCAAGTTTTCCCTGACTGGTGTGGGCCCCAGCATCTCTCAGATCAACGTTGCTATTCCAGTATCTTTGGACCACTGCCACCCTGCTGTGGTGCTGATGGACCCATCCACTTATCAACAGGCAGATATGATCTCTCAGAACCCTGTGATGGGCACAGCTGGTTGTGATCTTGTGCCAGGTTCCACAGCCCATAGGATGACCTCAGGTGTGGCCCCAGGCACCATGCCTAGTGGCATAGCTACAAGCCTTCCCTCAGAGTGTATGATCAAGGGTGCGGGACAGAGCTTTTCCCTGGGTTCTATGGCCAGTAGAGTGGCCCCTAGTTCAATGGCAGTATCTGATGCTGACAGGAAGAAGCAAAGTCTATCTGCAAAAACTTTGGCTAGTGCAGCCACTCCAAGCCTTCCCCAAGACCCCACGTTAACTGGAATCACTCCTCGTCCTTACCATGGAGTGGCTGTGGAAAAGTCCATAGCCCCCATCCAGGTAGCCCATGCCACTAACCTGGCTCAAGTTCATCCTCAGCCCTTGAAAGCTAGGAGTCTTCTCCAAAGGCCCTCAGTTCTGTCAAGAGCCTTAAAATTGAGCCAAGATCCTGAGTCTATGTCATCTGGGGCCACAGAGGACCAGGACATGCTGAAACCAGGAGAGTTAGATGAGGCTGTCTCCCACGGGTCAGGATCCAGTGGAGAGTCTGATGACTTAAACAGCAAATCCACAGTCCTTCACGCAACCCCGTGGATGAACCACCATCTCTTAGAGGATGTTGACCATGTTCATAGCTCTTCCTCTGAGAAGGAGACTCTTCCCCAAGGCCAAACACCATATTTTGAGGAGGCTGCTCCCAGCAAAACCAAAGGCATGGTCTCTGTCCCCTTTCCAGCCAAGCCCTCTGTGGCCCACAGCATCATTCCAGCTCTGCAGCCAAAGTCAGTAACCAGTAGTAGGTCCCCCAGTGCCCCTCTTGGGGCTGCTAGTGGGGTCCCTAATGTGCAGGGGAGGTCTATAGTTGGCAGGGCCATGAGTAAGCATATAGCTCCTGGGACCACTGAGGCCTCATCAGTTCAACAGGAGCATTTGGCTCAAGTTGGATCCCAAAACCATAACCAAGGGACAGTGGCTTCTACTGTAGGCTCAAGATCACCCCAGCTGGCACATGGCAGTACCATGGCATCCAGATCACACCCAGAGTCTTTGGCTAGGAAGGGGGACCCTCCTCTTCTCCAGAGGTCAGGGCCGCTCAGAGTGGACTCACTCGTGCTGCCTTATCTGTCCATGGCTAAAAAGGCAGCATCCAGTCAGCTCCAGACAAATGCTGTCCCCAGCCAGCTCCAGACAAATGCTGCCTCCAGTGCACTCCAGAAACCAGTGCCTGGGGACCCAGCCCAGGGCCGCCGTGAGTCCATCGGCCATAGAAAATCCTTCAGATCCATATATAGCAATATTGTTCCAGAACCACGAGAAGGTTCTATGACCAGGCTTTTACCCCCCGATGAGGTACAAAAGCAAGTGCCCCAGGACCCCTCAGGTGGCCCCAAACATTCCACAAATGCACCCACAGCAGACAGAACATCCATCATTCGCTCTAACAATGTGGCACATGGCACCGCCATTCCTAGGATTCCAGTGAGAGCTCGAAGGGTGTCTCTGGGCTATGAGTCTTCACCCAGTGGTTCCCTGAAGCCCCTCTTTAACCAGGACACACCTGTGGGGTCACAGACCTCCATGAATCCTGTAGTTAGTCACAAGGCACCCCTAAACCCCCCATCACTCCAGGGTCCCGCGGATGCTGGTGTACCTGGTGGCCAATCGTGGAGCTCCGGCGTTCCCAGTGTAGCGGTCAGGCCCGTGGACCGCAATGTGGCCCCCCACAGCGTATGGGCACCGGCCAGGGACACCATGCCGTGGCAGACGGTGGGCAACCAGGAGGCGGTGGATCCCAGGCTGTCGGGGGAGTTGATGATGTCGATGCAGGCTGTGGAGGCGATACTCATCCATGCCGTGATCACTCTCCAGGCGGGCACACGTGGCTATTTGGTGCGCCGTACTATCAGGATGTGGCACGTGAGGGCTACCGTCATCCAAGCTCATTGGCGTGGCTACCGCGTGCGGCGGAATCTGGCACGGCTTTACCGAGCCATCACGACCATCCAGGCTGCCTGGCGAGGCTACTGCACCCGGCGGGACTACACGCAGCGACAGCAAATATTCCTCCCAGTCATGTGGGCGGAGCTGCGCGGCAGAGCGGTGACTACACTGGACCAAGGCCACTTCCAGGACCAGGCATCCAGGACCCTGTCCGGTCACCGTTGTTTCCAGTCTTGTCAGCCCCAAGTTTGTAGCCTCTGCCAGTCGCTGAACTCTGGGCTTGGGAACCCGCCCAGCGTGGTGATGCTTGTGGGCTCCAGCCCTCGAACCTGTCACACGTGTGGACACACCCAGCCCACGCGGGTGGTGCAGGGAATGGGCCGGAGTGCAACAGTCCATAGGGCCACAGCCTGGGCCTCTGCCTGCCAGGTGGCACCCCAGAATCCCAGGCAGCTGCATCAGCTTAACAAGGCTGCCACTTCCATCCAGTCCGCCTGGAGGGGCTTCAGGGTCCGCCGTGAGATAAGGCAGCAGCAGAAGGCAGCCAAGATGGTCCAAGCCACTTGGAGAGGCCACTACACCAGGAACTGCCTCACCACAGATGCACTCTTGGGGCGGGTAAACCCATGGGCTGGCTTGCGGCAGGCACATTGGTCTGGCATCTAGAAGCCTGGCTACCAGCAGGGGACGACTCCCTGAGAGGGGCCATGTGGCTTTCTGGGTCTAATTAATAAAGGCCTCCACAGCCTGGATCTTGGTTCATATGTTCTGGGTTAATGGGAGTGTCTCAGGCATGGTGGGAAGATCTAGAACACCCCAGAGGGGAGAGGCCTCAAAGCCTCCGACGACACACTTAGTACCCAGGGTCTGTGACCAGGATAGGGACTGTATGTCTTTTCTGGAGGTCAGGGGCTGATAGTAAGATCTCACCTCTGCCACCGTATCCATCCATGGCTAGTGTGGTAGTGTCCAGTCAGTTCTAGATAGACGCTGTCCCCAGGGTGTTCCAGAAACCAGTGTCTGGGACCTGACCCTGAGCACCCACTTTGAGTCCCTCAGCCCTAAAATGTCCTACAAGTGCATGACAGAAATGCTAGATGTTAGTCATGTTCCCCCACTTACGGGGGATACTGAGCCACCTCCTGGATAGGCCCCAGTCTGGGTGAGATAGAGCAGGACAGAGATATCTTCAGCCATTTGGGGTCAGGGACAAGGTGGAGGATGGGGAGGGGGCTAAGGGGTGTCCTGAGCAGCTGGCAGGAGTGACAGAGGGAGTGACAGCATGGATTTGAGCTTCCTGAGAGCTTCCACAGACCTTCCTCTGTGTGGTGGTACATGTGGAAAGGGAACAGGAGAAACAGGAAGTCCTGAGTGGATGGCAGGGATTGAGGGCTTCAGGGTCATAGTCCAGGCAGGGCGTTTAGAAGGGGTGGGGTCCAGGTGAAGAGGAGGTCAGGAACCACACCTCTGAGGAACAGGAGCGCCCCCTAGAGGCCACATGTTGAGGCCCTCCTGTGCCTCGCCCCTGCTCAGCCACATGCTCTGCCAGCTGGGGCAGTGCTGCGAGCATTTGTAAAGAGAAGGCACCTGACCACACACCTGTTCAGAGCCCGTGGCAGGCCCTCCCAGCGGAGGAATGGCGGGCCCCCAGCTGCCTCGGTTTCTGCTTCTGGCTCTGGTGCTGCTACTGAAAATTGACAGGAATTCATTTACTACCACTGACACCTCTACAGGTAAGAATAGGTAAAAGAGAGGCCCCAAAGCATGGGGTGGGGATGGGAGGCACACGGCTCACTCACACTCCTGGCTTCTGGGCCCCTCTGGAGAAGGTTGTCTTTTCCCCTAGAAACAAATGGAGAAGTTATGAGATCAGATAGAGCAACCTCTGCTCCTAAGCCTTAGGGCTGCTGGTTCCAAGAACTGGCTGGAGAATGCCTCACACTCAGTTTAAGGCTCTATTTCAAATCTGTCTCTCTTAGCACAACCTCCAAAGGGAGAGTGGTGAGGAATATAGGGCCATGTGGGGCCAGGAAACAAGGCCTCATTTCTTGGTTACCAAGTGTCCATGGCTCCCATGAGAGAGTTCTGTCTTGGTGTCTGATTTAATTCCCTCCTGCTACCCTATAAAACAATTCCCAGGGTCGAGAAGAGTTGAGCTTCTTGCATCCTCCCTACTCTTCCCCTCCCACCAAGACATCACTCTGTCTGACCCATGTCCCAGCCCCAAACTTGTAATATCAGACAGAGCAGATGCTTCTGTGGTTAGCATGCTTATTGCAAGTAACAGTTCCTTCCTTCCTTCCTTCCTTCCTTCCTTCCTTCCTTCCTTCCTTTCTTTTTGAGACAGAGCCTCACGCTGTCTCCCTGGGTAGAATGCCATGGCATCACAGCTCACAGCAACCTCCAACTCCTAGGTTCAAGTGAGTCTCCTGCCTCAGCCTCCCAAGTAGCTGGGACTGCAGGCACCTACCATAACGCCCGGCTATTTTTTGATTGCAGCCGTCATTGTTGTCTGGTGGGCCTGGGCTGGATTCGAACCCGCCACCTTAGGTGTATGTGGCTGGCGCCCTAGCCACTTGAGCCACAGGTGCTGAGCCGCAAGTAACAGTTTCAATCAGAAGACACCATATTGGCCAGACTTGATGGCTCATGCCTGTAATCCTAGCTCTCTGGGAGGCCAAGGTGGGTGGATTGCCTAAGGTCAAGAGTTTGAGACCAGCCTGAACTAGAGCGAGACCTCGTCTCTAAAAAATAACTGGGAGTTGTGGCAGATGTCTGTAGTCCCAGCTACTTGGGAGGCTGAGGCAAGAGGATCACTTAAGCCCAAGAGTTTGAAGTTGCTGTGAGCTGTGACACCACAGCACTCTACTGAGGGAGACAAAATGAGACTCTGTTTCAAAAAAAATAACAAAACATATTTATCCCCAGCTCATAGCTTAAGAAACTGAGGCTCAGTGCCGCTTGGGCCAGACCCAGACTAGAGGCAGTAAACTTGGTTCACACCAGCCTCCTAAACTAGGAGTCTCTGGGAAAAGCAAATACCTGGCATGATACGTAGAAATAGCCTGGCTTTACTTCTGGTCAGCTTTCTACCTGTTTCTGAGTGCCTACTCTGTGCTAGGCTTGTGTTTTCCATCTTCTCCTCTTTCAAAGCCCACTAGTTTTCCTCAGTTGACTTTATTTTCATTTTTTTTTTAATTTTTGAGACAGAGTCTCACACTGTTACCCTCGGTAGAGTGCTGTGGCATCATAGCTTACAGCAACCTCAAACTCCTGGGCTCAAGAGATTTTCTTGCCTCAGCCTCCTGAGTAGCTGGGACTACAGGTGCCTGCCACAATGCCCTGCTGGTTTTTAGAGATGGAGTATCACTCTTATTCAGGCTGATCTTGAACTCTTGAGCTCAGGTGATCCACCCATCTCATCTCCCAGAGTAGTAGGATTACAGGGGTGAACCACCAAGCCTGGCCTTCCTCAGTTCACTTTAAAAAACTCAGCTCCCCAGAGTTTTGGCTTGACTTGGAGACCACCATGGCCTCTGTGTCATCTTCATTTCAGCAGAAACCTCTTACATCCTGGATTTCTCTTCAAACAATGGTAAGAGGTAGTACAGGTTAGCTGACTTCTTAGTTCTTGACTCCTTGGAGGTCCTTGAGGAACTTTCTGCCCACCTGCCTACCTCTGTCACCTGAGACCAGACCCTGTACCACTCTGAGCCTCATTTCCTCATCTGTAAAATAGGGATGAATTCAAGCTAGTGCTCCATGTCTCTTTTAGACTTATTTGTCTCCCCACAGGACCTGGGAGACTGAACAGAGGGCTGGGTAGTGGGGGCAAGAGGACCTAACTCTCTCCCAGGGCCAATGCTGAGTGTTATTTCTGCTATGTAGGATAGGGAAAGGAGGAAGTGTGCAAAGTTCTGCCTGGGGCAGAGTGACCAGGGTGTGGCAGGGAGCAGTTGATAAATGAAGTTGCAAGCACCTAAAGTGCCAGCCACCTGGAACTGGGCAGAAAGTAATTGTGGGAGGTGGACCATGAATTATTTACCCACCCCTCAGCCTGGACACTGGTCTCCATACCTGGGATGGGGTGGAACACAGGGAGTGGCTGTACCAAGGTGGCAGGGGTCTCTGTCCAGAGAAGACATGATCTGCTGACTATTCTCAGCATTTATGTCCCTGTGTCTGCCATTAAAACTCTAAGGTTAGCCTTGTGGACCTTCTAGGTACCTTGGGAAGATCAGGACTGACTCTGAGCTCAGAGGTGGATTTGTGCAGCTCAGCATCTCTGTGCACCCTCTATGAACCTGAGTGTTGGAGGGCCAGTGGCACCACCTTCCCATGATCTCCATTTTTACAAAAGGAAAAACTGAGTTCCAAAAGGTTGAAAAGAGTTGCTCAGCATGCTACCTGGGTTGCAGTCATTGCCTCTATCCATAAGGCTTCTAGAGCCTTGAGGCAAGAGGGGCTGGGAGTACCAACCTGGACTTGAACTTGGTTTTGAGACTTTAGACAAGGAGCTTGATCTCGAGAGGGATCTTCAATTTCCCACTGAGCACTTACATGGGGTCTTAAATACTTCTGGTCTGCCTATAAACTGGACATTTATTATTTGTGTGGATAGGGAAAGCAGTATCCAGATTGGAGCTGGGTAGGGGTAGGGCAGTGCTTGATCATCAGCTCCCTGAACCTTGATGATATTTTTCTTTCCAGCTGTTACAACCTAGGAGGGCAAGGTGGTGCTCTCAGCTGCCAGCCCTCTGATCTCTTCTCCCTCTAGCCATAGCACCCTCAGCTCAGTAGGAATTTCCAACACCTTCTCCAACACAATGAGTTTGGAGAGCGACTCCAAAACCCACCTCAGCCCCTCAAGTTCATCAGGAACCCTTATGGTTCAGCCCAGTTCCAGCTCCACAGATTCAGCGATGGCCTCTACCTCCCCACAACCACAGATAGCCATCAACCTCCATCAACCTCAGATATGGCTCATCCATTTTCCACACTTTCCATTCCACTGACTCCAGTTTCAGTGAGTTTTGTCAATGAGGGCCAAGGACACGGAAGTCTGAGACATCTGCCAGGGCCCAGAGCCTTTTAAATTCATTCTCAAGAAGTTGTGCTCTTGCCCCTGAATCAAGGCCAGCAGTCTGCTGAAGTTGTTGGTTTCAAGCATGTGCCTAAAGAATTATCTATCTATGGTCTGTTGGCCATTTCAGAACTTTGGAAATGTAATGGTCAATTCATTAGAAAGAAACAGTATGAGTCATTGGTGATAGATGTAGGCTAGTATGTATTTGTAGTCTTAATACTGGGGTTCCAAAATATCTACAAAACATTATTATATTTATCTCAAGAGGATATTTAAGTTATTCATTAGAATTATAGTGCTGTTAAATCTTTTTTTTTTTTTT